ATGTATGTGCATTTGTTTCATGATCTCATTAACAATAGCTGAATGATGGCCATTTTAAGGCCGAAAATGCATCAAAATCACGTATTTTCACACTTCCGGAACCTGATCTCAGTCATGCATGGATGGATTTTGTTCAGATTTAGAACAATGTGTTGTACATATGCAGGTGCATTTCGGTCATGATCTGCTTTGAATGTATATGTCACTCAAATATGAACGGAACGGGGATGTGTCATTGACAATGACTTGTAGCTTAATAATTCTGTTCAAGTAAAATCCAAGTCTTTCATGGTGATCTGAACAAATTGCTATAGCTTTAAACCCACCTGGTACTTTTTTATATTGCATGTTCAGATGATGTTAATGACCAGTGATCAGTTATCTTGTTGTGTTGGTGTTTGGTGATTTCTAACACAATTCCACTGTTAAGTGGCTCTGGTTTTCAAGCTAATAACTGATATTTATAAATCTTTTTCTTCCACAGTGGCTACAGAGATCGTGATGATGACCGTGGTGGTGGTAGAGACAGAAGAAGTTTGTCTGATCGCAGAGATCGTGGGGATAGAGGGGACCGCCCTGACCGCCCTGACAGGGTTGACCGCCCTGACAGGGGTGAACGCACAGACAGGAGTGAGCGTCTAGACAGGGGCGAGCGCAGGAGAAGTAGAAGCCGTAGTAGGGATAGGCGGCGTGATAGAGATAAGAGTCGACGCGATGGAGAACGAGAGGGCAGAAAGCATAGGGATAGAGATAGGAGAGATAGAGACAGAGGAGACAGGGATAGAGACAGGGGAGATAGGGATAGAGACAGAGATAGAGGAGATAGAGAGCGAGGGGATAGAGATAGAGAGCGAGACAGGGGGACCCGGGATAGAAACCGGGATAGGGACAGAGAAAGGGATAGAGATCGAAATAGGGATAAAGATCGAGGTAGGGATCATGATAGAGAAATTGAAAGAAGTGACCGGGATCAAAGCCAAGATAATGGAAGTGATATTGCCCCATCTATGGAAGAATACAATGGCCAGATGATCAAAGAACCAACGAGTGAAGAAGAAAAAATGTTCAATCATAAGGAATCAGTACCATTGCCACCACCACTGCCACCATCAACACCCCCACCACCACATAAACAGGAAGATTACATGGAGCAGGATATACCTGATGCAGAAATGGAGAGCCAATGAAATCAATGTGAGTTTATTAAAAACAAAACAGCATTAATTTTTACCATGATTATTACATAAGTTTGCATCTCCCTAATACTTTGTTTTTTGCTTTATTCCAGGAAGCAAGATATTAATTGTTCCAGTAATGCACTTAGTCCAGAAATTTTCAAAATATTCATTTGTAAAATATTCCTATCGACTATTTTAAACTTACATATTAGTGCAAGTGGTTTGTATGAAATTCAGTTATATTCTGCAGTTGGTACTAATAACTGATATAAAACTGTTTAAACTCATGCTGGTTGCTCAACAGATTAAAACTGTACTTTGTCTCGGCCACAAGAGCACACCTCTTTTGTGTAAAAAATAAATGGGGGACAATTTTAAGCTCAAAATATTTCAATCTTTAATTTGTATTGTCTAATTTTAGTTTTGTCAGGTAGGTAATTTTTACAAGGTAAGTTTTTACTTCATGGAGTATTGTAATGTATTCCTGCAAAACCAGTCTCGTCAAACGTCAACAAGAACACACAAAAAACTTTTTATTTTGACCACCTGGTGAAGAGTGTCGGTTTGGTATACAAGTATTAGATATTAGGTAAAGACATCAGCCTACTTAGGGTTAGGTAGAGGCTCTAATTCTGTTAAAAACAATTGTCAGTACGCAAGTTATGGTGAAACTTCAATATTGTCAACATTGATTTGTCAGAAATGTAATTCAGTATGAATGAATGTATGCAAATTAAATGTCAATTTTGTTTTTATTAAGCATTTTTTTTTGTCTTATTTATTTGGTATGCCTGTGCCAATTTTGTTGAAAAGGTTGGTAGGACATGTACACCAGTTTGTATTGGGATTGTAGTTTACATTAAACTGGTAAGAAAATGTATGTGAACATGACCACTGGTGCACACTTCATTACTGTATGACGTAATAAAAATTCAAGTAATTCACCAAAATAAAATAATTGCATTTTTTAACCCCCCCCCCCCAAGTCTAACTTTATTTTGATAAACTGTTTTTCTTGCAACAGTACAACCCCATTTTGCCAAATGTACAATTGGCTATCCATTAAAAATAATTTGACTTCCATATAAAAGACTGTTCTAACCTCTTCACCGCCAGTTCCCTCTTGTCACAAATGTATAATCTGCACTTCAAAAGATTGGGACAAAAAAAAGCCATTTTTTTTTTTGCTAAACTGAAAATTGCCTCAACTTTTGTCTATTGGCTCCAAAATTAGGGTTCTTTTTCTATAAATATTGGAGAAAAAAAGGTTAATGAAATCCTTTGCTGGGCGTAGTCCCCCCTCAACCTTTTTTGAATTCTTTCCCTATAATACAAATGGCTCGCAACTGTGATCTGACTTTATTTCCCAGATGAATCGTTCTCTGGCTATATCCTGAACTTTATCACTGATTTCAGTTTACTATACTTGCTGATAAAACTAAGAGTAGCATTTCACAACTTGAAATAAGTTCATACAGAAAACTTCCATTCTACTTGTATGCGTGATAATTCAACGAGAATTCAGTTTCCAGGTATCTGAATGCTTTCAGAAAGTAATTGTGACAAGAGTATTGATCTTGCTTACCATTCAACAGGAATAAGGTTTTGGTAGTATAAACTGGAGTCTGTAACCGATGAAAAATAATGACAATATAAAATGTCATTATTTGACAAAATAAAAGCTTTACTCTGTATCATTAGTAAATTTTTCTGACACTTTTGGACCAAAGTTGGTACAAGGGCGAAATGTCTTCAAATTTTTGTCCATCAAGTCTGTGAACTTCCATTTATATGGACTCGTTAAAAGTAGAAATGTTGTGGACATGACATTGTTTCAGTTTTTACTATGCACACAAGCGAAATATTGTAATGCAATAGATCTTGATTAGAAGTTCAATGAAAGTTGGAAATTTTCGCATTTTATTTAGACAAGTTGTGTGAAGATGTTAATTAGAAAATTGTAATCTGGGGGGTCCACGAGGTTTTTAATTCTGTTGGGGAAATAAGTACACAAGCTGGTTGGCGATCCACTCAAAAAACAAGCAACATGTTTTGGCCGTTTCTATGGTAGGACATGAATGTGAAGCTAACGTCGGTTTATAACTAAAATGGGCCCTGTATACGAAGTTTGCAAAAAATATTCAGTCTTAGAAGTCACTTAATTTATTACCAAGACGTATTCTGCGGTTACATTTATTATTTCCAACCGTTTTGCGATAGTATATTTAGTCCCCGTTCGGACAAAGTCCGAAAACGGGGACGTATAATTCGGTCTCCGTCCATGCGTTTGTCCAGAGTCGTATCTCAGAATCCTTTGGACCAATTCCGTTCATTCTTTGCATGTGCCTAGTACTTTATTGGGGACATGTACACATGCAGTGGTTTAGCGATTCGATTCAAAATGGCCGACTGGCAGCCATCTTGTTTTTTGAAAATGTATTTTGGACATGCATTGTCAGTTTTCATTCAAACTTGGTACATAGATTATACATGTTAGGATACATGTGCATGACGACTTATTTCACAATTGGATCAAAGATGGCCAACTGGCAGCCATCTTGTTTTTTGAAAATGTTGCATTTTGGACATGTTTTGTCAGTTTTCATTCAAATTTAGTACATAAATCATACATGTCCCCGACCATCCGTGAGTTCCCGAGTCCGTCTGTTTGTCCAGAGTCATATTTAAGAATCCTGTGGACCGATTCCGTTCATTCTTTGCATGTGCCTAGTACCTTATGTGGTACATATGCACATGCAGTGGTTTAGCGATTTGATTCAAAATGGCCGACTGGCAGCCATCTTGTTTTTTTTAAATGTTGTATTTTGGACATGCTTTATCAGTTGTCATTCAAACTTGGTACATAGATTACCGGTATACATGTTAGGATACATGTCCATGACGATTTATTTCGCAATCAAAGATGGTCGACTGGTAGGCATCTTGTTTTTTTTTTTTATGCGGTATCTTGAACGTGCTCTGTCAGTTTACATTCAAATTTGGCACATACTTTATACATGTTAGGATGCATGTACATGACAATTTGTTTCAAAATCTGGTCAAGGATGGCCGATTGACAGCCATCTGACTTTTTGGCCTTACTACTTCCACAATTTATGTACCATTTTCATTCGTATTTGGCACATACATCATACATATCAGTGTGTTTCATAATCAGATCAAAGATGGCAGAATAACTGCTGTTTTTATTTTTGGCCATATTACTATTGTGTGTTTTGATGTAAATAAACAATCTGTTGTATACGCCACTTGGAACTCAAGTTTCAAGGACACGCTCGCGACAACCCCTCCGCTTTAATATGACGAGCTCAAAGAGCACTTTTAACAGGGACTGTGTCATTTTCAATGACTTGTCTAGAATGAAGCCAGCATTTACAGTTCATTCAAAGTTGCATTGTTAATGAAAATAAACATAAGAAAAACAGTAAATTTTTGCCCACACTTGAGCTTAGTTGAATTGGCCACTAGTATGTCGTGCTTTTTAATCCTAGAATTGTGAGATACATTTGGCGTGAAGGTATTTAAAAAATTTCAGTTTTTTTGGCTGTTGCCATAGAAACGATGGGCCAAAATTTTTCAACCTACATTGTAACTAGAGCGAAGGTGTAACTTTTCTGCTAAGTTTGAATAAAATCAGCCCAGCCAAAAAAATCACAGAAGTTAAAATGCCATTCCTGGTGAAGTTATCCCAACTTTGGGGTCAAATTTCTTGGTAATGAAAAAGAATATCAAAAATTCAGTTACTTTGTGCCCACACTCAAGCTGAGTAGAATGAGCTATGTCTTAGGTGTTTTATCCTAAATTTGTAGGAGGAGATACATTTGGCGCGAAGCTATCCAAAAATCAGTTATTCGAAAGCTGGGTGGAAGCATTACTTGGTAAATGCAATAAGTTTTCTAACCTTGTGCTAAAACTTGTTTATTAGCTTTACATAATCAAGTGACATTTCCTTTGGATTTTATGTTGTTAATGGTAGCTAACAAATACAAGTCACACCAGCATAAACATGGTCTCTGTCGTGATTTTGATCTTAGAAAAAGTGTAGAACACATCAAAATGAATTACTGTACAGTCAACTCTCATTATCCATTTTATGTTTGGAGTACATGACATGTCAAAGATGCTATATACATTATTGGTTCTGCTCCTGACTGCCTTTTTGTCGCCATGTACGAAGCAGAAAATGGGAGTCTTTGCAGTTAGTGTGTCTGTATCTGTCTGTTCCACTGATACCTCAAGAATCGTACATCAGTTTTTTTATGAAACTTGGTGCATAGATGCTCTGGGCCAATGCGCAGATTTGATTAGGTTTTGGTAAAATTCCATGCATATTAATTACCTAATTTGCATGATAAGCTAATTTTAAGCTGTTCCATTGATATCTAAAGAACCACTCATTGGATTTTGATGAAACTTGGTATATAGATGCTCTGAACTTGTGCGCAGATTTGATTAGTTTTTGGTAAAAATCCGTGCATATTAATTACTAATTTTGCATGATAATTAGCTAATTTTTAGCTGTTCCATGACTGTTCCACTGAAATCTAAACAACCACTCATTGGATTTTGATGAAACTTGGTACATACATGCTCTAAACTGATTTGATTAGTTTTTGGTAAAAATTACTAATTACCTAATTTGCATAATGATTAGTCAATTTTCGTTTTTTCCACTGATATCTCAAGTACTAATCATCACATTTCAATGAAACTTGGTACATGTCATAGGACACTGCACAGACCTGATAGTTTTTAGGGTGATATCAGTGCATATTAATTACCTAATTTTCATAATTAATTAATTTTCATCTTTTGATGTTTCAAGTAGTAAGCATTACATTTCAATGAAACTTTGTACATGGATGCTGTAGGACAATAGACAGACCTGGATAATTGTGGGTTAAAATCTGTACATATTAATTACTAATTTGCATAATTAACCACTTTTAAGCTATCACACTGATATCTAAAGTACTAA